GATTATCAGCACTGTTTGGTACACAACCCAAGTTCTGTTTGAAAAGTCCTTGCCAGTGTCTATGAAAGAGTCTGTCATTCCTCCATTTGCATTTTTTTCAATCAAAGATCAGTTAGTTGAATGGGCTTGGAGTTGTTTCTGCATCATCTGTTCGTTTCCATTGACATTCATGTCTGGTTTTGGTGCCCATTCCATGCTGTTGTTATCACTGTGGTTTTTTATTATAGCCTCAAATCTGTCATTGTGACACTTCCCACCCTGCTCTTGTTAACCCAGATTTCTTTTGCTCTTCTGGGTCTCTTCTGGTTCATACAAATTTTAGGAATGTCTTCTCCAGTTCTATGAACAATATGATAGGTGCTTTGATTAAATTTGCATTAAATTTGTTTGTGAGGTTTGGAAATATAGCATTTTTAACTATATTGGTTCTGCCTATCAAGGAACAAGAATAGTTTTCTTTGTTTTTTTTTTTTTTTTTAGGCCCTTGCACGAGGCAGATGTAGCACCACTGAGCCAAATACCCTCCCTTTCTGTCCATTTTCTTGTGTCCTTTTCAATTTGGAGTCTTGTTCTGAAGTCCTGTTTTGTTTTGTTTTGGTACCGGGGATTGAACTCGGGTCCTTGCACTGGCAAGGCAGGCCACCAAACCGTTTAGCTAAATCCCCGGCCCTGAAGTCCTGTAATTTTTATAGTAGAGGTCTTCCACTTAGGTTAATTCCTGAGTGTTTAATTTTTCACGTTGCCAATTGTGAATGAGTTTTGTTTTTCGTTTTTTGTTTTTTGTTTTTGTTTTTTTTTCCTAATTTCCCACTGAGTTCTTGTTTAGTGTATAAGAACATCATTGGTTTTTGTGTTTTGATTTTGTACACTGTTATATTGCTCAGTTTGGTTATTGTAAAAGTTGGTGGGTTTGGGGGAGGTCTTTTATGGTTTGGTTTGTTTGTTTTGTTGTGGTCTTTTGATTTGTTTGTTATGTTTTTTGCGATAGGGCCTTGCTGTGCACTTTAGGATGCCCTTGAGTTTACTGTGCAGCTCAGGCTGGTCTCAAACTCACGGCAATCCTCCTGCCTCTGCCTCAGAAGTGCTAGGATTATAGGAATTTGCCATCAAGCCTGGCTAGGTGTCTTACATGTATAGAGGATCATGTCACCTGCAAATAATTATAATTTGACTTCTTCCATTTGTAGACATACCCCTTTTATTTCTTTTTCTTGCCTAATTGTTCTAGCTAATATCTGAAGTATTATGTTGTATTTGAGTGGTGGTAGTGGACTTTTTGTCCTTCTTGTTTTTAAAGGGGAAGCTAGTTTTTTCTCACTTAATATGATGTTATCATTAGATTTGCAATTTTTAATTTGGTATGATCCATTTGTTGATTCTTGGTAGTACTTCCTGTGCCAGAGATGTTTGGTCCAGAAAATCTTCCTATTTTTTGACTTCCAAGAGTTTTACCCATTTCATCTTCCTGTGGGTTGTTTCACTTTTAACATTTGTTTGATTCATTTTTACTTTAGTAGGTGGTAAGAAATCAATGTCCAGATACTGGTCAAAAAAATATTTACTGTAAATGTCTGAACTTTTTCTGGATTTCATATTCTGTTCATTTAGTCTGTGTCTCTTTTGTTAATATCAGTGCTGTGAGTTTTTTGTTACTTTTACTTTATAATTTATTTTGAAGTCAAATAATAGATTGATTCTTGGAGCTGGGAATTAGCTCAGTGGTACCATGCCTGCTTCTCACGTGCGAGGTCCTAAGTTCAGTCCCTGGTACCCATATATATAAGTTGAATGTAAATATATATGTTGTTTCCTACTTTGTTGTTATTGTTTAGAATTGTTTGAGCTACACTGGAGTTCTTTCATGATTTTAGGCCTTTTTAATACTGTTTTTTCTCTTTTTGTGAAAAGTGTATTTGGTATTTTGTTAAGTATTACATTGCAGTTATTGTTTGCCTTATCTGATGATCATTTTTATTATATTCTTCCAACCCATGAGGATAATGTTCCCATGTATTCATTGTTCTCTTGAAGGGCGCTTTCATTTTCTTTAATTTATTCTGTGGGGTATATACGTGTGTGCGTGTGCGCGCGTGTGTGTGTGTGTGTGTGTGTATGACACAACAATTGTAAACAGAATTATTGTCTTGGCTTCTTTTCACCTTTAAATGCAGTTTATAATGCAGATCTTTTCCTGAAAGTTGCAAGCCTTCAAGGAGCCTAGTGTATTAAAAAATGCTGTGACACAACGTGAAGTTGCCATAGTTTTCCAAAAGAAAAGCCACATTTCCAAGGATTACCTTTTAGTTGGCAGAATTTTTACCTTTCCCTAAGTTGTTAGATAAGGTTAATACTCCAGTGACCTCTACTCCCATGAGAAAAATATTTGAAATAAATTTTTAAATTGTCCATCTGGGTTACTTTTATTTATGCTCTGCCTTGATTTTGAAAATACTTGAAAACAAATACATCCACCTAACCCCATAGGCTAGACAGTAGAAGTAAAACTAAATGAAAGAAGAAATTGAAATAGTAGGAAAGGTAAATGTAGAACAATTAAGAGCTGGTCCTAGCACTCTGGTAGGCCAAGCCACGAGGATTCCAAGTTCAAACCCAGACTGGGCAATTTAGTGACTTAATGAGATACTGTCTCAAAATAGAAAATGGTAGGGAAGGCCAGGGATTTAACTCAATGGTGGCACAATGTGCCTTGAAAGCACAAGGTCCTGTGCTTGATCCCTGGTACCAAATTTTTAAAAACTGGGGCTATAACTCCATGGCCAGGCCTTCATTCATTCCCAAGTAGTTGGGGATTGGAGGGATAGATACACGTATAACGAAAGATTTGCTTCAGAACATTAGAAGATGCTTGTAAAACAACTATATTGTAATTATATACTCTGTCCTGGTGTTTTTTTACTCTGATCAACAAAGTAGAACTTGTACCCTTAAAGAATTTCACTGAAAGCAGTGAAAGTGATACTCATTACCTAAAACAAAAATGGCACCACGGAACATACATCTGCAGGCCCAGTTATGCTAAATCCTAAGTCCGTCAGTATGTTGACTTGAACTCACGTGAACTCATCCAGGAGTTTAAGGCCAGACTGGGCAACAGAGCAAGATAGTCTCAAAAATGTAACATACAGGGCTCGGGATTTAGCTCAGTGGGGCCACCAAGAGTCTCACAAGTGCAAGGTCTTGTTTTCAATCCTCACGACAGGAGGGGAAAAAAGTAACATAAAACAATTTTTAAAATTGATTTTATGGTTTACTGTAGTAAGGCAGAGCTTTTAGAGTCCATATTCCTAAGTGAACTACAGTGCAACATTAAAGCACTGGAAATTAAACTTTAACAGCTATGTTAGTTACTTCTGTCACTGAGATGTAATACCCAGCACCCGCTTAGAGGAGGCAAGTTTTATTTGGCCTCTACAGTTTGTAAAGGTTTCAGTCCATACGTAGTTCAGTAGCTCCAAGGCACAGTGATATGGCAGAATGGCATAGCTGAGGAAGAGCTCATGACATGGCAGCATGAGGAAGCACAGAAAAATCCCAAAGGAGGAGGGAAGGAGATAAGATCCTTCCAGATCAGGCCTCCAGTGTCCTAAGTCATCAGATATACAGTCATCAGTCAATTTAGCCATTAGTGAGTATTACACCAGCACTATCCAGTCGCTTCCCAAAAGCCCCACCTATGAGCACATGAGGCTTTGGAGTGACATCTAGAAATAAAGCATAACAAGAATAATTGATCTGGCATTATGTATAGAGCCTAACTTATTTAGGTTAGATATTGTTAAAGGGGTGTGTTTCAGTAGACCTTAACTGACACTTTTGTGAACTGTTCCTCACATAAGCCTTTATTATGCTTAAAACCGATGTAATAGCTACGTTTTTGTTGTATACTGGACAATGAGTCATTTTTTAAATTTTTGAAAATTTGTTTTTATTTTCTATTTATTCACTTGGTAACTGTCAAGTACCTTATCTATTGTAGGTTCCTAGGCAGCCAGTAATGTCAGGGTGGTGGTACAGGGGAATTGCTGTTGTGTTTGAGGACAGCCTGGGAGACAGAGTAAGTTCCTGGGCAGCCTGTACTATATGTCAAGATTCTGTCTTCATGGAGAGGAGGAGGCAAAAAATAAACAGAATTGACTATTCATGTAGTGTTTATTCTACAGAAATCAATATCACACTTAAAATATAATAATCAAGTGATGTTCCTAAGGCTGAGATTAGAGATAAATTTTGTCACTGATTCTCAGTGAGAGGATATTATATAATATTGTATAATAAAGTGTATATTTTGTGTGGCTTATTAAAATGTAGATTGTTGAGCTTCTTAACCACTGTTTATGAATAGTAAGTACAGAAATGAGCAGGGATTTGTATTTCTTACACATACTCAGGTGATACTGATAGTGGTCCTGCTGGTCTGAAATACATATTTTCAGAACTATTGATAGCATCAAAAACAGCCTTAACTCTGAGTTATATGCTGCAGAGAACACAGTTTACCAAAAGCAGTTGAACAAAGATTGCAAAATATGTGTTGAACTTACTTAATGGTACCTAGTATAAATAGTGTCCAGAAAGGCATTTCTATTTTGGCATGCTGTTTCTTTGCTAAAAATATTAAGATATGTTCAAAAAAAAAAAAAAAAAGTACAGGCATGTATTTTATTCATTCATTGTTACCTTTGACATGGTCCATCTGCACACTAGTCACTACCTGTTGGAAGCTTTGAGAAATTACACATTAAGAAACTTTAAGAGTCTGTAAATAATAACATTCTTGGTCTTTTAAGTAACTTTGAGATTTAACTCAGACAGATAACATTGTTCCCCTTCTGTTGCTATATAAGCTTCAAATTGGTGGAGAGAGGGATTACTTTGTATTTTCCTGTTAATTCCTATCCCCTATTAAAAATAGACTGATAGAATTAGTTTGCCCTTATTGTGAAAGTAACAACATTAAATACAAAATGTTTTTATTTCAGAATTGTCCGTCAGTTGGCACAAGAGCAGTTCTTTTTAATGTGTACCAGATGTTGCATGGGACACAGGCCTCTGCTTTTCTTCATTAGTCTACTCTTTACCGTTTTAGGGGTGAGACATTTTTAAATGAACCTATGAATATGATTTGGTCTTAAAATTGAGAAACTTTCAAAATATTATAATAACTTAAAAGATAGTCATGATAAATGAGATATAACCATTTATAACACTTTTCAGTTTTCTGAGGTTTTAAAAAAATTGTGGACTTTGAGCATAGACTTCAGAGTTTGTATTGTTCTAATTTAATATTTCAGAGCACAGCAAGAGAGAGAGGTAAATATTCAGGTGACTATTTCACACTCTTACGACATCTTCTCAGTTATGCTTACAACAGCAATATTAATGTACCCAATGCTGACGTTCTTCTCAACAATGAAATTGATTGGCTCAAAAGAATTAGGGTAAGTTGAGCAATATTCAGATTGTTAAATTCAAGTTGAATGAGTTATTTTACTAAAAGAAGCCTTCTACCCTAAAATAATTAAAACAAAAGTATACTTTTCACAGGTAAATTGATAGCCCATGATTTATAGGAAGAACATACAGGTGGTTTTGTTTAAATGCCTTGCTTAAAACTTGGAATATTAATGCTTAGTTTTCTTCATTTTGATGTTTTAGGCCCTTTTAGCAAACCATACTGAAGTTATTTTAATTATGGTGGTAGATAGTAGTGTTTACTTTAGTCAGTAATTCTGAAAAATGGAGCTTTTAGTTTTCAGGTTACATCTTTCTGAGCAGTTACCATGAAGCAGTATTTCTGAATCCTGGCATTACTGACATCATCTCATAACAGATAATTTCTTTTTTTGTGAAGCTTCCCATGAGTATAAAATGTTAAGCATCTACCCTGACCTCTCTTGCTAGGTTTTTTTCTCCCCAGAGTTGTAAAGTCCAAAAATCTGAATCTCTTTAATGAAGAGGTTTTGGGTAATGAATGATACACATAGATCCATTCCTTTCCATTGCTCTTTTCTTGTGGGTCTTATCCTTTTCGATATCAATCTTATAAATTAGTAATTTTTTTAAAATTTTTTTTTATTTTTTTCAGGATAATGTTAAAAACATGGGTGAAACATTTGTAGAAGAACCAATTTTGGAAGGCCACCTTGGAGTAACAAAAGAGTTACTGGCCTTTCAAACTCCTGAGAAAAAATACCATGTTGGTTGTGAAAAAGGAGGTGCTTATCTTGTTAGAGTAAGTTCTGAATTTTGGTGCTACAATCTTAGGATCTGTCTGAGCTTTCTGTACCCACTGGTCTTTAACAAATTGCTTTTTTAAAAAAAACAAAAAAACTATAGGGCCGGGGATTTAGCCCAGTGGTTCCTCTGCCTGCCTCGCCCATGCAAGGGCCCAAGTTCAATCCCTGGTACCAAAAAATGTTTTTTTAATTTTTTAAAATATATTTGTGGATATTAACATTAACTTTTAAATGTTTACCTTAGTTTAAGAGTTTTTTTAAAGCTAATTACAAACAAAATGTTCAGAGTCAGTAAGTAGCTTTATTTTCCAAATCAGAATATTTTACTTGTTTACAGTCTGATCCAAGACTGTTAATTTATAGTACTAGGGAGTGATTGCAGGGCCTGACACATGCTAGGTAAGTGCTTTACATCTAAGGCACATTTTCATCCCTTTTAAAAATTTTGAGACAGTCTTATTAATAATTTGCCCAAGTTGGGCTCAGATTTGAAATATCTCATCTGGAAAGTTAATTATACTCAGCCTTTAATTAAAATTTTATTAGAAAATCTACAATTTTTTTTGATACTTCGAGATGCTTATGTCAAACAATTGTAGAGGCATTTTCCATCAACAGATATTTTTAAATACATCTTTACTAATATGTGATATATTTTTTCATCTCCTTAGGAATTAATTGATGATTTCATCTTTCCTGCATCCAAAGCTTACCTGCAGTATATGAAAAATGGAGAACTGCCAGCCACACTGGCTGTTCCAGTCTGTAGTTCACCAGCTACCATCAGTGCTGGTTTTGAGCTACTTGTAGCTTTAGCCATTGGCTGCGTACAAAACCTCAAACAAATAGTAGATTGTTTGACTGAAATGTATTACACAGGCACAGCAGTAACTAGTAAGTAAATTGTAAAGCTGGTTTTGTTTTATACCTTATTATTTAAAAATTAAGACCACTGCACACAAAGACATATAATAAATGCCTCATTATAGTGACTTAGGTAATTTAATATAAATTGTATTTAATCATACCTGAATTCTGAATTTCAGAATAATGAAGACCCAAAACTCACACCATTAAAAAAAATCATAGTTAAAACTTATGTACTGCATAGATTTTCAGGCCCTATTTTCGTTAATGTTGTTTGATTAATGTGTTGCTTATCATCATTTGAGTTCTAAGAAAGATATGGTATGGAATTATCAGTTTATAAGAACATTAAGTGCCTCTTTTAATCCCATCAGATCCACAAAATGGGTATCCATCTTCAGATCATACAAGAACTGAATCTTAGGACAGCAACTATCAATATATTTTCAAAAAAATAAGAATACTAAGTTATTTCTTTTGAAGAGAAAAATTTAGGTTATAAGTTAAATTCATTAAAAACATGAAATTTTTCATGTTGTCTTTTAATAAAATGAAGTTTTTAGTCATATTTTAGGGCATTCTAGATAAGTTTATTGTTTAATGAAAATATGTACTAAAAAGAATTGACTTTCTCCACATTATATATTCCTGGTTTAAATTAAGTGTTTTTTTGTTTTGTTTTGTTTTGTTTTATTTGTTCGTTCGTTTGTTTGTTTTGGGGGTAGTAGGGATCGAATTCTGGTCCTTGTGCTTGTGAGGCAAGTGCCAGAACCACTGAGCTATATCCCTAGCCCTAAAGATAGTCTTTATGCAAATTGTATATAATATCTCTTCATTTAGTCTCCCTCCCCCCAACACACACCCACCCAAATGGGAAAAGAGCTATAAATATGGTGGGTTTTTTTTTATTTAGTACAACACCCATCAGAACATAATTACATTCAATATAATCTTTCCTAATTTATTGTCACCAAGTTAGTAATTGATGTTTGTTTCTGATTTTACTCTTAGTAAAAAGATTTCTATTTCTCACAGTACCTTCAAATACACTTACCTTGGTGCCTCCTAAATTGGTGAATGTATACAACAGCTGTTACTTTTTTCCCATTTAATGAAGAAGGAAATAGGTTCATGTAAAGGACACAGGTGTGAGTTTTAACCATGAGTTGAGCCTCATGATTGTATATAGAATTAAAACTGAGAAAGCTGTGATATTTTTAATTATTTATATTATGTTCTGACCACACCGATTGGAGATAGTTATTATAAAAGCACAAAAGATTTTAATAAAAGCTAAAATTATGGTTACACATAGAAAGTTAATATCACACAGTCTTTTACTGATATTTCTGACAACTGTTATCCATAAAAATAGGAACTCCATAAATCCATAGTAAAAACCGATGTCATGACTGATGTTATTTAAATTAAAATTTTGGATTATTTTCTCAGAATGCCTCTTGTGAAATAATGGTTGCTGGTAATTAGCTTGCTATCCTAATGTAGGTAAAAGTGAAACAAATTACGGTTTACATGATGTAAGTATTTTGTGTCTTTTGTCAGCTTTTGAAGGACTTACTGAGTGGGAATATCTGCCACCTGTTGCACCCCGGCCACCAAAAGGATTTGTGGGACTAAAAAATGCTGGTGCCACTTGTTACATGAATTCTGTCATCCAACAGCTATATATGATTCCTTCCATCAGGAACAGTATTCTTGCAGTTGAAGGGACAGGTAGTGATATAGATGAGAATATGTTCGAGGATGAGAAGCAGGATGGTGAGGTAATTTTTATTCATTTATTTTTGTGTGTATTTAAAGATCTAGATATCATACTGTTGGTCTCCTTTAGAATGACTTTTACTAACATTAAATTGTATTAGATGCTATTTCTAGAATTCTGAGCTACTTGCTATGGTATATTACACTACCCATTTTATATTAGATTTGAAACTCCAGTTGATAACATTTATTTCAGTTCTCCATTTGTCTTTCTGTAGTTTCAAACAGTTAATACAATTGTGTTTTGTTTGGAATGTTAAAAATAATTGTGTGTTGGGCTGCGGATTTAGCTCAGGGACAATGCGCCTGCCCTGCTTGGTGAGCACAATGTCCTGACTTCAATCCCTGATTCTGGGGCTGGGGGGGAATTATGTGTTTGTAAAATTATAACACCATTTAATTTTTTTTCCTCTAAGGATTTTTGTTTTTTGTTTTGTTTTTTATTTTTTTTTGTTCTCTGGAAGAGGTGTTGTTTTGTTGTGTACTTTGTCACTGAGCTGTGTCACCTGCAGGTTTTGGGCGGGGGTGAGGGGGTGGACATTGTCTCCCTGAGTAATCAGGTTACCCAACCTGGAATCAAATTTGGGATCCTCCTGCCTCAGCATCCCAGAATGCTAAAGATAGAGGCCTGTACCATCATAGCCGGCCTTTTTCATTAAAGAATATTCTTTTTCATTTATTTCACCTTTTGTATTGCCTGTCACCATTTCATAATATTTATTGAAGATCTACTTTAATATTTTCTCAAATAATCACTTTATAACAGATTATATTTATTTTATTTAATTCTACATCTTATGTTAACAATAGTAAATAATATATAGACTGTCAACCAGAAGTATTCAATACACAGTAAAGCAGAATAAAAGTTTACAGGGCAAATCAAAGTACTTGTGTCTTAGATAGTTGTTAAATATTTAAATTATGGGAGATTTAAATTGATCATATTTATACATAAACTTTGTTTTCTTTATCTTTTACTTTTTCTTTCATATTGATAGAATCTAAGTTAGATATGGTTGATGATATTCTAATTATAATAAATGATTTTCCTCCATTCCTATACTTTTCCCTTTATGGTCTCAAGGAAATAGTTTGGCTTTCAGGTCATCTTCATATACTGAATTTCTGAATTATGCACCTAGCTCCATTCTCTCAAGATCTAATAAATCATACCATTCAGCCATTAGGTTCTGAGTATGCTTACTTTTTTATAATCACTAGCTGATACCCACACCAGTACCTGGGTAAGAATCATACTTTTGGAATATAGCTCTTCCTACTATTTTAACTACAGATAGATGGCTAATCATACTGGCAGATAAAATATAATATTTCAGACCACTTATCTTTATGTTTTGCTTCTTCTTTCATCTTTATTTTATTATATTATCTTTTACAAGTTTCTATTCTAGATTGTGAGCTTCTAAAGGACCAGGAGTAGGTATTTCTGTATCATAACTTCAGGTACACCGTAGTAAGCATGCAAAAAAGGTCTGTAAGCATTGGTAAAACAATGAAATTCTTGTATGTACTTACAGTGAGATTTTGACCTTTAAAGTTTCTGTATGTATTGTACTAGTGTTGCTGCTACCAGTTATCTTAATTAATTAGCTGTACTTGAGTACAACTTGTCCACATTATGTAAGTTATCAGTATAAATCATAAAGAATTCACTCTTCCCACAAGAAATACTAAATCCTAGAATGATTAACTTTCCCTGAAGTTACTCATGGTAAAAGTATTCATTCGTCTCTGATCCAGTCTTTTTAAAACCAGACTGAATTATATTACTTTCATGGACACTCAGAATTACTATTTTCTAATTCTTTTGTAACTCATCTGAAATCTTTTATAACAAAGTTACATGCTTTAGAAAATAAAAATATAATTCATTCACTGTTAGTGTTGGTGTTTGTTTCAACTATTGCATTATACTTTTAAAGATAGATTTGCTCATCAATGATGTTTTTTGGTCTCTAGTGTAATGTTGACCGCAGAGATGATGTATTTGGATCCCATCAATTTGAAGACAAACCACCATTAAATAAGACAGAAGATAGGAAAGAATACAATATTGGTGTCTTAAGACACCTTCAACTCATCTTTGGCCATTTAGCTGCTTCCCAAATACAATACTATGTGCCCAGAGGATTTTGGAAGCACTTCAGGTAAATTATGGATGGGTGATCATTTAAGTTAAAAATCTCAATATACTAATTTTAAACTTCTAAAATATGTTAGAATATTGATTTTATTTAGTTAGTTACTGCTAGTATTGTAATGGTTCTTTTTAAGTCAGTTTTTTTATTGTCTCAGTCAAATAACAAAATTTGCAAAGGAAGCCAGTACTCTTCAATTTTTATTTTACAAAACTTATAAATTGTGCAAAGTGCAAAGGGAAATGGTAAGATGTCCTCAGTGCAACAGTTATGAACTGAAGTAGATGTCAAGCATAACCGTGATATTGTAAAGCTCCCTAATATCACTAAACTAACCCATCACTGTTTAAATTTATGCCTTTTTTTTTTTTTTTTAATTGTCTTGTATACTACTGTGATGTTTAAAAGCTTGGTCAAGATCCAGTCATATTTTTTATCTCAGTCTTTTTTATTAACGAATAACATTTCTTTTGCAGAATTGGTACATGGGCGTAGCACATCTTAATTCTTTTTTCATGTCCTCCATCCTTTATCCTCCATATTCATCTCTTGATCTCCTTTCCATCAGAAAAAGATCTGTCTGCCTAACTCTTGTTTTCTGTTTTTGATTCGGCACTTTATTGAAGCTTGTTTAACTTACTTCACTCAACATAATCTCAAGGTGCATCCATTTTCCTACAAATGACATGTCTGTCTTTCTTTATGGCAGAGTAGTACTCCATTTGGTTTCAGTTTTTATCAAGCATTTTAAGATATGCTGATACAATATTAGGTCATAGACAAGAGTAGGGTAAATTTGCTCATAGTTTGTTTAGAAGTTCACTAATATGTGGCCAGGAGGCTTTGTCATGTTTATGAGTATGATTTTCACCCTTTTATTCTGTGATTGGTAGGACTATTTAATAGGAAATGATTTTGCTTTTGGGAGAAACAAAATACGGAGTTGTCACTGACCAAGTTTACTACTTTGAATAAGCTTACAAAATTGTAATACTTAATTGTAATACTTTTTAATTTTATCATGCTTCATCAGTTCACTAGAATGAATCTTTAAAGAGAGGTTCGCCTTCATTAATTAACCTAATTCACTGGAAAACCCAGATTAAGTGCTCTTTTCCTTTCTGTTGTAGAAATATTTAGCACCTGGGTATACTCCCGTAGTGGCCAATAAAATTTGGGGATTTTATAGATTTTTTTTTTTTTTTAAAGGTAGTAACATGGCTACAAATGCAGGATGATGGTAAATGGCTTTCCTGGCATATATAAAGCCCTGGATTCCATCCCCACCACCACAGAAACATCAAGAACTATATCTTGATGTTATTTCCTGTGTTAGACTTCTTTTATCAGGGTCTGTTACATCTCTCTCTTTTTTTTTTGGTACCGGGGATTGAACTCAGATACTTGCGCTTGCAAGGCAGGCCACCAAACCACTGAGCTAAATCCCCAGCCTTCTGTTGTACATCTTACACAGAACTAAAACATTGAAGCACACCTACACACGGGTCTGTTTTTATGGTGCAGGAAAATGTTCTAATTCTTTGTCGGAATTTGGAGTTCATTAGCAAAGAATCCTGCACGTTAAAAACTTGAATGAAATGATCTGCTTTCTGAGTTTTGCCCTCTTTGTTCCAAAGAGAGCAGCTTAACCCTGAAGATTTAAGTGTCTATTTTGGAAATCATAAATGCATGGTGCTTACCTTCTTGTTGTATGTCTAAAGTATTAATTTATGTACTTCTCAGGTTGAATTGCTATATTGTTAAGAATGACTTGCAGGGCCAGGTATTTAGCTAAGTCTGCCTTGCAAGTGCAGGGACCCAAGTTCGATTCCTGGTACCAAAAAAAACAAAACAAAACAAAAAAAAAAAAGAATGACTTGTAGCACTTTTTCTTTTTCTTTCTCTTTTTAAAGGAAAGGTTGATTTTTTTTTTCAGCATTCTAATAATTACATTTGTTCTTTTTCACATTGCCATATCATATTGAGATTTTTTTTCCAGTTTTCCCCCTAACTACCTGTGTATGTGTTTCATGTGTATATAATAACTATAATTTTATATTCATTATAATTCGGAGTGCAAAACCCATAAATAAGTGTATAGTTGTGTATAGAACAAATATATCTATATAGGTAGTTTGCTTTTTTATTATTTTAAATGTGTTAGGTTATGGGGCATTTTTATATAGATACATTATATTTACATTTATGTCCTCAGTTCTGTGTAATACTGGGATTCAAAATTTATTATATTCATTTGTATCACTGACAATCTAGATGTAATTTTTTTTTGTACTAGAATCAACACATAATATATTTTTACTTTATTTTTCTTTTGTGTTAACATTTATGCAATGAAATTTACTATTGTGAACATTTAAAAGTATACCTCAGTGGCATGTGATATCTCAAAGTTTCTGTACAACCACTGTCTGAGTCATACCCACAACAGAAGTTCTGTACTAACATCATTTCCCCAGTCTCCTCTTCTAATCCTGGCAGCAAGCTAAATGGATTTGCTTATTTTGGATAGCCTGTATAAATTTAACTGCATTTATTTTGATACATAGCTAAAAATGTAGAAGATAGTTCATATTATAATTTTAATCTTGTGTTTAACCACCAAATAGATTTGTAATCCCAGAAAAAGCATTTTACTTTTTCATTAGCAATTTTTAAGAAATGCAGTTTGTCTATGAAATACAAGGAAATGCAGTTTGTGTCACATCAATACTTGACTGCTTCTCTCTTTTTAATGCTTTTTTTCTTTTCCTTTTAATTTTACCCATCTTATTTTTAGGTGTGAAGTATATCTTATTATAGAGTTACTTGCATGTTCATAATGCATAGTAGTGTTGAATTTATTTGCCACTTGAGCACCTTTGGAGAACTATCAAATTACTCTTGTTTTATAAGTTGTATGTGCTCTTCCTGTTTTTCTATTTTTTATTTGGAATTACAAATAAATGATTTAGAAGTATAATGTCCTATACTAGGTAGGTAATCTTTTCAGTATCTTGGTGTATTTTTTGATGCACAGGATTTAAATTTGACTGATTAAATTCTTACATTTGTGCATTTTTCCCCCTAAAATCTGATTTGTTTCACAGTTGCTCCCCTTCCCTTTGATACTGGGGATCAAATTCAGGACCTTGTGCTTGCGAGGCAGGCTCAGTGGCACAGCTAATTCTCCAGCCCTCACAGATGCTTTATATTGTAGTAAAACAGATGCTTTACATTGTAGTAAAATGTATGTAACATTAAATTCAAGACTAGCCTGGCTTGCAAGCGCGAGGACTTAAGTTCAGTCCCTGGTACAAAAAAAAGATCAGCCTGAACTACAAAGCGAATCCCTGTCTCAAAAAAAAATTAGCATGTTAAGTTTTCAGGTGTCAGTTGGTAATATCATATGTCTTTACATTCCACCCCCGAATCAGGGATCAAATTCAGGACTTTATACTTACCAGGTAGGCAGAGTACCTCTGTCCTATATCCCTAGCCCTGTCTTTACATTCTGTATATCTGTAGAACTTTGCTTTCTCAACTAAATTCTATAAATAAGATATTTTAAATATTTATATATGTATTTTTAATTCCCTATCCTTCTCTATTCTTAGAAAACATATAGTAAGTTCTGTGTCAAAAGTGGTGAAAGTTGCCATCCTTTAGTTTTTCCTGGTCTTTGCAGTAAAACTTATCTTTTACCATTAGACCCTTACCTTAAGCCATAGACAAATACCAAGTCATAATGAATCATGAGACCTATAAAACTTTTAAAAGAAAACAAATTTTATAGCACTTGGTTTGGCAGTGCTTTTTTGGACTACACCAAAAGTACAGGTCTCAAAATTTAAAACAAAGCAAAAAGCAAAATCAACCACCTCTATCTAGTGAATATATACTTCAGTGTATATAGGTTAACAAATCTATGCTCAAATGAAATGAAACTTGTGAAGAAAATTATTTACAAACCTTCTCAAAACAAATTCTAGTGAAATTTCTGACAGTGATTATACTGTGAGAAACTTGGAATTGCAACACAAATGAGATGCTAGTTATATAAAACAGTACATGTGTAGACATAAAAATTGGAAGTAAAAATAAGTCACTTAGTATGTACAAATGTAATGCCTTTGACTTTAAACAGTAATTGCATTATATGGTTGGAAGATCTGTCATACTTCACTTGGCATACCGTGTGTGTGTGTGTGTGTGTGTGTGTGTGTGTGTATAAAATGATGAGAATGTGTAAGTTAAACTACTTTGGAGGCTCAGATAGTAGGATCATAAATTTAAGGGTAATTTAGCAAGATCCTATTTTAAGATGTTAAAAAGAGCTGAGAATTGTAGTTCAGAGTTAGAGTGCTTCCTGGATTTAATATCCAATAATGGGACTTTTAAAAGAACTAAAAATATTAAGATAAAAACCCACTACCTGCATTGAAATAAAACATTTTAATTTTCAATTTTTAAAATGAGAGGAAAAATTTCTGCCAGGAGTATAAACAATAAAGGACCAAAATGATTCATTTTAAATTTGATTATATCAGTAGTGATATAAAACACAAATTGGGCTACTTACCAGATTGGTAGGTCAGAAGGGTACAAAATTATTTTAACATGCCTTCCAGGTAGCATTCTTTAGTTTAAGCATAGAGGGCCAGGGATTTAGCTCAGTTGTGTTGCTCCAGCCTTGCAAGTGCAACATCGGGAGTTTGATCCCTGGGACCAAGAATAATTAATTAAAAATAGTTTAACCTTAAAAATTACAGTAATAAAATGTCATGTTAGCATCAAAGTGTCATCATACATTTATTAAAATGGGAGGGAAAAGAAACATTACTGAGGTGTTGTGGATGACGTACATATATATATTTTTTTAACTTAGGTCCCCAGAAAAAGTCAGAAATATTTAAAGAAATGTTAATGAAAAAATGAAGAGAAAACAATTTTTACGAAATGATTCTTCATTTGCATTCCTTGAAACCAAATGCAACTCACATTGCAAGAAA